GAATCTTAAAATGTGCTTGGATCATCAACAACAAAATCTAAACTATCTTCTTTTGCATTGTTTAAAACAGAAACAATGTTTTTATTGCTTGGTTGTTTAGCTTTCGGCTCTTTATTTCTGATTTTATACCGTTTTTTGATATTTTCTAACCTAAACTTCAATTTCAATACCAAACATTTTTATTTACTGCATTTATCTATATTTGAAGTTATTGCAGAGACGAAGGTGAGGTGTGTTTTGTTTGAAAAGCAAAAAAAATGTTTATTCATCTTAGAAGTTTTCTTATAAACTAGAAATTTTCTTTTAACTAGTTATAACTATATTTTTATAACTATGTTAGGAAACTTATTTGGAAAATAATTATACCTTACAGACAAAAATGTATTTAAAAAGAAAAATTGTATTTAAACAAAATATGTGTTTTCAAATGTTTTCAATAAAATAAGAAAACACATTTATAAACGAATAACTGGAAGAGAAAATAGTAAATCAAATAATATTCGTTAATAGTAAGTACATTACAAAGGAAACCATGAACGCACCCTTCATAAATGTGGGACCCATTCTTGGTTCTGAAATAGAGAAATCAAATTTGTATTTCTTGTATATCAAAAAAACTTTCAATAAATATCTTATGAAGAGTTTAAGGGGGCTCACCCCCTTCAAAAATAATCTACATAACATAATTTAACTTATAATAAATAGTGATAACACATGTGAAGTGTATGTTATGTGGTTGTGTAGAAGCGTGCTTAACATGCTCAAAAATAGCTTTTCCAGACCTACATGGAATTACTTTGAAAAATTAACACTTCACATACTTGAATTAATCATATAAGATTAAATTTTATAAAAAAGGTATTGTAGATAGGTGGAAAAAATAAAATAAAATTGTTGCTATGGGCGTTGCTAAGGAAATTCTTTTATACTATGTTCAAAAATACAGGAAATAGACATACTTATGTTGTTGTTTTTTTTATTTTTAAATTAAAATCAGATTCCTCATTAAATTTTATACTTAAAAAACGAAAAACCCAATTTTTTTTTTGTGCTATTTTGAAGGGGTGAGCCCCCTTAACAAAGCACTGACTGAGCAAAAGCGTAGCAGTTATTTAAAGCATTTGAAAACCCATAATTCATTTATGAGCATCTACTTTTAAGCATAGCTTTTTTCCTGATCATGGCGTACTTAAATTACATGGCCTGATTTGTTGTATTTACCTAAACAATAACGAGGCTAGTTTTCTTAACGGCTTATGTTTAAAAGCTTAAGTTCTTAGTGATAATTCGTGTTTGCACTATAAATGCTCTAAAATGGTTAAATAATAGATTTTCTTTGAGTAATTACATTATATTTTGCTTGATTTTTCGCTGACTGATTGTTTACTTCAGTTTATTCCAATAACGCAGAATACTGAAATAGGCTTTCGTATGATTGTATATCATGGGTAGCCACAATAAGGCCCGCGGACCGCATTCAGCGACCATTTGTGCGGCCTCTTTAATTATACAAGTTTTTATTATTAATACCGACCGAGATTAATTTACAAAGAAATGTAAAATTTACAATTTTTTTTATTAACTATTTTTATAGAAAATATTTTATGAAATCTCAAGTTTAAAAGATTTTCTAAAAAACCAAAGATAGATCTTAGTTTTAGTTTTTATAAAATCTTTTAAATTTGCTAATTTAGACAAAATGGCATCTTCAAATAAACGAAAAATTGACAAGGAATGTCGTGAATTTGATAGTGAGTGGCAAAAAAAAAAACTTTTTGGGGGAGTTTAATTCAGTGCCAGTATGTTTAAAATAGCAATGAATTTGTTTCAGTATACAAAATTTGTAAATACTGTGATTCAGAACATTTAAAAACTTATAATAAGTTAGTCAACTAGGTACTAAAAGCAAAAAAATTAAAATATTACCTTATTGGACAATAAGATTAAAAAAGGGGAAATACCAAAACAAAAATTACCTGCAAGATATGCATTTATTATTTTAGCAAAAATTGTAAACCATCAAGTAATGGGGAAGTTATTAAAAAAGCTCTTGAAATTGCGTTCAGAAAAATTGGCCCTGAAAAAATAAATTTTTTAAATATCTCCATCTCAAAACAAACAATTAGACAAAGTACAGAGAAAGATATTGCTGATGATCTGAGTTTTTCATTATATTATTTATCATTACTGAAATAATAAACGATTTCAGTATTTTTTTGAATTAAATTGCTCAATTGGTTATTTTTATTCATAGTATTAATAAAGATTTTATTGTTACTAAGGAGCTATTTGACGTCCTATGCAAGGTAAAACAACATAAAAAACATTTTGCTGGTCTTTAAGAATGTTTTAAAAAAGATTAACTTGACCTACAACAGATTAGTTCCAATTACAACAGATTCTGGTAACTCAATAATTGTAAAAAATATTGGCGTTGTTTCAAGACTGGAAAATGAACTGGCAGAAAACATCTTTTCATTAATTAATAGGCATTGTATTATTCATTATTAAAAGCAAAAGCTATGGATTTGTAAAATGCTGTCTTAAAACAGTTTAAGTAGTTAAAACAATACACAGCATCAAGTCCAGCGGTTTACGGCATAGACAATTTGAAGCGTTTCTTGATGAAAATCACTCTAAAATAGGTGGTTTGCTTTATTAACCTGAGGTGAGATGGCTTCCTAGAGGTAATATACTGAAAATAGAAAATTTTGAGAGAGACATATAGTACCATATAATTCATTTGATTCATTTGGTAGATCACAATATACATTAGGTATTTTCATTGACCTATCAAAAGCATTCGACACGGTCGATCACAAAATTCTACTTAAAAAACTCAAATTTTACGGAATTAAAAATTCCGTAAAATTTGAGTTTTTTAAGGCAAATTTAATGGCAAATTAATAAAATGGTATCAAAGTTACTTGGAAAATAGAAAACAATTTGTTTTCTATGGAGATTATTTTCAAAATGAAAAATTAATTGACATAAAATGTGGTGTTCCACAGGGTTCTATTCTAGGCCCACTTTTGTTTTTAGTTTATATAAATGATTTAAATAAAGCTTCTAACCTTATGAGTATAAATTTTGCGGACGATACTAATTTATTTCTGTCAAACAGTTGCATTTATGAGCTTTTTTCAAATATGAATAATGAACTCAATCAGATCTCCAACTGGTTTAAGTGCAACAAGTTAACTTTAAACATTGACAAAACAAAGTGGATCCTTTTCCACTCTCTTGCTAAAAAGCGTTTTTTACCAAATAAATTGCCTAAACTTTTTATTGATAAAATTGAAATAAAAAAGGAGTCGGTCACAAGATTTTTAGGCATTTACATTGATGAAAATATTACATCGAAGTATCATATCGACTATATTTCTACTAAATTGGCTAAAAGTATTAGAATTCTATATAAGGTCAGATACTATCTAAGTAAAAAAAATTTAATTCAACTCTACTACTCGTTTATTCATAGCTATATAAATTATGCAAATATTGTTTGGGGAAGTACCTCTAAAAGTAAGTTACAAAGTCTTTACCATCGTCAGAAACACGCAATGCGTTTAATATGTTTCGAAAATCGTTTTTCTCATTCAAATATTTTATTTAAAAAAGTTAAAGCACTTAACGTTTACGAACTCAATGTCTATAATATTTTATGTTTTATGTTTCGTTGTAAAAGTGAACGACCATTGTCCAATTTCAAAGATCTTTTTACTTATAAAGCTATAAACAATAGCCACGGCACTGGATACTATATTATAGTTAACAATGCAAAATTGATGCGTGTCTTGTTTGGTACTTGCGTAAAAGTATTTTTTTTTTGTGGATAAAATTTGAAAAATCAAAGCAACAAGAGCTGTACTGACAGCTGAGCTAATTACAAACTTGCAGAATACCGTCAACCGGGGTAACTTTGAACTGCGGGGTAACTTTGAACACAGATTGATTTTTTGTTCTAGATGTAATTATGAAAAGTAATTATATGAAACTGTTCGACACTTAAGCATCAAAATATCAAAAATATATTAAATTTTGATTATTTAAAGTTTTACTTTGTTTTACTGGTTTTATTGCTTCTTTAAAAATGATTTAAATATTTCGGATATTTTTCTTAAAAAAATTAGCCAGTATACTTCGTAGACTGCCTCAGCTCGTTTAGCAGCTTGTTGTCTAAGTTATATAATTTTTGTTTATAAAATTATTAAGTATGTAAAAAGTAAAGAAATTTCCTAGCCTGCTTTAGTTATTGTCCATGGGTGTAGCATAACATATTTTGTTGTGTACATTTTTTCGCATACGGTAACTTTGAATAACATTCAAAATAACTCGACAACTTAAATTGTCAGAAACATGTAACAATTTTAAATTATATTGCATATATATATATATATATATATATATATATATATATATATATATATATATATATTGTGTGTGTGTGTGTGTGTGTGTGTGTGTGTGTGTGTGTGTGTGTGTGTGTGTGTGTGTGTGTGTGTGTGTGTGTGTGTATGTATATACATACGTATATATATACTTTTTGGAGAAACTACTAATAAATTTTCAAACATATCATATAATATATGTGTTTTCATTCTAAATTGTGTTGCATTTATCTTTAAATTTACTTTCAGGATATCATAATAGTACTATGCCACGTTTATACAAAAAAAAATTGATTTCAGGCCGTATAAAAATTACTCTGAACAACATGTATCAAATGCTATGATAGCTATCGATAGTGGTTTGTCGGACAAAAAAGCATCATATATTCATGGGGATTCTGGTTGGAACTTTGTATAATAAAGCTAAAAGACTTAATCTAAAAAAACCAGGAAAACCCACATTTTTTACGTCTATGCAGGAATTAGCAATTGTGCAAC